CCAAAACCTTAATGACTCTCCTCCATTGCCTGCTGCATAAAGTTTAAACTCCTTATCAAGACATCCAGCTTCCACTTGTGGGCCAGGCAAACCAACCCAGCTGAAATAGCAAGATGTCCTAAGGGAGAGACCAAAAGGTGTCATATGCCAGGCATATCAAACTACTACCATCATATCAACCACTAACTAACTCCCTTTGGACTCCAGTGGAGATAGCCCAGGACCCTGAGCCTACAATGCTAGGGTATAACCCGGGCCCCATAGACTGCTAGCCCCGCTTCTAGCGTGGGCCCCATAGCCAACATTGAGAGAAACTATCCCTGTGAAGATAGGGTCCACCTTCCTCAACCTCACCAATACCAAATGCTGACCAGCTCGCCCAATAGGCAGATGAGCCCAAGAGCAGGGGAATGGCATCATCCTCCAGGCTTCCTGACCTGCCAGCATGCCAGCTCCCATAGCCATCATCCCAGGAAGCAAACCCCATGGGATGAAACCTGGAAACTGCTTCTGTTTGTTTTATAGCCAATATTCCTGAAGACCCAGAAGAGAAAGTTTTTACCCCCAGAATCCTTGGCACTATCATTATAAATTGTATGATTTTATCCATGGAAATGACATTAGAGGCATTATCATCTGCTTTGTGGCTATACCCTAAGGATCATGGGTCATTTCCATCTAACTTAGAGCTAAAACCTTCATCTCCCCCACTATAATGTGAGTTACTTGACGACAAAGCTAACTTAATTTTCTGTTTGTATCCTCAGTGCAGGGTTGTGCAGCTAGATGGTACAGTGGATAAAGTGCCTCAGGCCTGGATTCAGGAAGACTCATCTTCCTGAGTTTAAATCCAGCCTTAGACACTTACTAGGTGTGACCCTGGACAAGTCACTTAACCCTATTTGCCTCAATTTTTTTCATCTGTAAAATGAGCTAGAGAAGGAAATAGCAAACCACTCCAGTATCTTTGCCAAGAAAATATCCCAAATGGGGTCACAGAGAATTGGGCACAACTGAAAATGACTGAATAACAACAATATCCTCACTGCATTTTTTTTAAGAAAGAGCATTTAAGTGCTTATTCTGTGTCACACACTGTGCTTAGCACAATGCAAATACTGTACAAGGTAAAACAAACCCATTCTCTGTACTTAAGGAGCTTCCATCCTAATGGGGGGAGGGGATCACATAAAAAAGGCCTCCGCTTCATAAACGTACCAAATTCATAAAAGTCTCACATAAATTAATTAGCTCTCCTTCCTCAAATTTCTCATAGCACTTTGTCTTTACCTCTGTTCTACACTTAACTCAGTCTTACAGCATAATTATTTGTATATGTCTTTCTCCCCAATTACATTGTAAAGCTATTGAAGCTAAAATCTCTTCTAATTCTACCCTTGGTCCCCCCTGCACCTAGCAAAGAGCTTTGCACATAGCAGTGCTTAATATATGTTGAATTATTGAATAATGAAGCTGGTAAATCTGTGAGGCAGGGGGATAAGTCATTAAATTATAGTTATTCGGTTTGTGTGAAGCAGAAACATAAAAGCTTCCTTTCCTCTCACTTCTCAAACCTTTGCAATCTCTCTTCCAGCTTTCTCCTCCCTCAATTGAAGCTGCTCTCTACAAAGTCGCCTCCTAATTACTAAATCTGATGGTATCTCCATCCTCATCTTTCTTGACCCCTGCATACCATTTAGCATTATTAGTCACCTCTGTTCCTCCTGAATATCCTCTTTTCCACGGGTTTTCATGACAGAGCTTTCCCTGGCTCATCATGGGGGTCTTGTCCTCAAATTATGGGCGTATCCCAAAGATCTGCCCTGGCTTTCTTCTCTTCTCTGTCTACACTCTTGGCAAACTCCTGAGCTCCATTGCTTCATTTGGGCTGCATACCTCTCCTCCATGTCCAAAATTTCTTAGCCTTACCCCCAGACTCTCATCTTCCCAACTTCCCTGTTTTTGTGGAGAGAGTCATTGTCCTTCCAGTCATCCAGGCTTACAAACTGGAAGTTATTCCCAGCTATTCACTCTCCCTCTCCCCCACCTCGATACCCAGTCAGTTGCAAAGTATGGCCGATTCTATCTCTACAACATCTATCACATCTGCCCCCTTCTCCCTATTCATGTGGTCACCATGATCATTTAAGCTTTTGTCTCTCTCTTAAAAACTGTTCAAATAGCCTCCAAATTGTTCTCCTTAGGTTCCGGGCTCTCGCCTTTCTAATTCGTATTCCACACTGATACCAGCATTATATTCCTAAAGCTCAGGTTCAGTCTCCAGCTAGAAAGCCTCAGTGGCACCAAGTTACTTCTGAGATACAGCACAAACTGCTGTTCAGCATTTAAAGCCCTTCATGTCTCCCATCTCCAACTACCTTCCCCTCTTCTCATCTCCCTCTATATTATTTCACTTGGTGATCTCATCATCTCAAAGAATCCAATTATCATCTCTGTGCTGATGATTCTCAGATCACTTACCCAGTCCTATCTTCTCTTCTTAAAGTCCAGACTCGCATCTCTAAATGCCTATTAGACATCTTGAACTGGATGTCCTAAAGACATCTTAAACTCAACCTGTCCAAAACTGAACTCATTATCTTTCCCCCAAAATCCTCCCCTCTTCTAAACTTCCTATTATTGTCAAGGACAAGACCATCCTCCCAGTACCCCAAACTAACAATGTAGGTGTCATCCTCAACTCCTCACTCTCTGTCATCCACCATATTCAATCTGCTGCCAAGGCTTGCAAATTTTATTTTCATAACATCTCTTAAATATGACCCCTTCTCTCCTCTGACATGGCGAAACCCCTGGTACAGGCCTTCATCACCTCATGCCTAGACTGTCGCAGTAACCTTAATATCTTGAAGTCTTATTAACCTTAATAGCTTGATAAGGCTCATCTCCTTGCCAGAGTCTCTCTCTCCCCATTCTAGTCTGTCCTCCATTCAGCCGCCAAATTGATCTTCCTAAAAGTATAAGACTAAACCAGAAGTGGGGCAGCTCAAGGCCACATGTGGCCCTCTAGGTCCTCAAGTGTGGCCCTTTGACTGAATCCAAACTTCACAGAACAAATCCCCTTACTAAAATGATTTGTTCTGTAAAACTTGGACTCAGTCAGAAGGCTTCACCCAAGGACCTAGAAGGACACATGTGGCTTCAAGGCCACAGGTTCCTCCTTCTGGACTAAACCATGCCACCACTGCCACCGCCACTTAGTAAACTCCAGTGACTCCCTCTCATGTATATCAAATATAAAATTATCTGGCGTTCAAAGACCTCCATAACCTGATCCTTTCCCACTTTTCTGCTCTGCTTAGCCCTTGTCCCTTGCAGTCCAGTGAACTGGCCTCCTGGCTATTCCATGAACAACACACTCCATTTCTTGGCTGTGGACATTTTCTCTGGCAGTCTCCCATCCCTGGAATGCTCTCCCTCCTCTTCTTCACCTCCTGGCTTCTCTGGCCTTCCTTCTCTCTGTTGATTATTTCCAATCCATCCTGTCTGCAGTTGCTTGCATTGTCTCTCTCATCGGACTAAGAGCTCCTTGAGAAAAGGGACTGTCTTTTGCCTTTCTCTGTATCAGCAGCACTTAGCACTGTGCCTGGCACATAATCCATACTTGACAAATGTTCATGGACCGACTGACTTCATGATCTAGCTCCTCCGTCCAGCCTGCTTTTCCAGGCTTATGGTAGATCACTACTACCTTCCGGCCAAACTGGCTTTGCTCTTTTACCATTCACAGCATTCTGCCTTCCATCTTGGATCTATACAGTCTGCCCTTCTCTCCTGGAGGACACTCCCTCCTTAACCTCCACCTGGTAGAATGCTTAGCCTCTGTCAAAATTCAGCTCTGATGTCATCTCCTACACTGGGCCTGTCTTGATCAGTCCACTCCACTAAATTACTTTGTATTTATGTCTCTATGTTCATGTTGCGCCCCCATCCCCTAATAGAATATGAGTTCTTTGAATAGAGGGACGGTTTCCTTTCTGTCTTTGTTCTAGTACCTAGCATGGCGCCTGGAACATAGTAGGTACTTAGCAAATTCCTACTGAATGAATGAGTGGGTGACGAGTCATCAAGAGTTACTCACAAGTGAAACCCTGGACATGTGCTTGTTTATGCTTTGACGTGGGGCAGAGTGGCCATTTCTGAAAGTTTTCCCTAGTGGAATTTCAGTTTCTCCACTGATAAGGAGGTGTGTTTGGTTGGCTGGTTTGGGGGGGGGGGTGACATACTGAACTGTTGCTTCATAATAGTAGTAGTAGTAGTCAAGTACATTGTACTTATCAGTTGTGCATCACTTTACATACACTATCTCATTTAATCCTCACAACCTTTTGAGGGAGGTAATGATAGTGTTACTATTACCATTTAATTGATCTGAAGACTGAGGCTCAGGCAAGTTACATGACTTTTCCAAGCTCATCCAGCCAGTAAGGACAAATCCAGCTCTTCTGACTCTTCACAACTTACTCTGCTGCCTTATATCAGACAAAGTTAAGTCTTAGAGTGTTTGACTTACAGCATTTGGATGTAACACTGTTTTAAAATTTCATTTGGACGAGTGTATCAACATATGGTGTAAAAGAAAATAAGTGATTAACTACTATGTCAGTGAAGCATGCTGCCCATAAAAATACCAGGCTGCTGAATGCAAAATGCCAGATATTTAAATGCCCTCCACCTGTATTACATTCATCCTCGAGAGTGGGACATTTCTAGTTACAGAGAGGTAGTGTAATGTTGGAGGTGGTGTAATTACTGTGACTGGGGCTTATTGTGCATTTGGGGTGCAGGATGAGGACTTCCAGCAACCTTAAGGTCCTCAGTCCTTTGGACCATTTGCAAATGCTGCCTTCTTTACCTGAAAAGACGGTGAGAGGAATATTGAATCCATAATCAATTTTCACCCCCTTAGATGTATATAAGTGTGGCACTTACTGGGTATCTTCAAAACTGATTTTTATTATGCATATGTTTCCTAACAGTTGCAAGAAGCAATCCTGGCTGGCAAAGGTGTGACTTCAGCTATTGACCTATGTCGTTACCATGGAAACAAGGCCCTGGAAGCCCTGGAGTGCTTTCCTCCCTCTGAGGCCAGATCTGCTTTAGAAAACATTGTGTATGCTGTCACCAGGTTTCCTTGACACAGAATTTAAAAAGAGACTATTGTTCGTTGGCTGAAAATAACAGGGAAGATGGGGGAGAGGTCTCCACTGTGAACCATCTAAATGTGTCAGTGGTTTAATTTTTTTTTTCATTTACCACATAACTGAATGAGATTCACCTTCTTTTTGGAGCTGCTACAAACAAAATTAGGAGAAGAAGAAGGGGAAAAAAAAAGGTCAAACAGTTTTCACTTGGCATGCCAGAAGCACACTTGAGGCAGCTCTAGCAGAAATAATTAATGAGCTTCGCTCCTGTGACCTCAGCAAATGGACAGGAAATAAGTCTGTATTGATTGGACCGAGCTAGGGATGGCGCCAGGGTGATGGCCTGTGGTTTCCCTGTGCTAAAAAGGACGGAGGGGGGCAGGCAGGCAGCTGCAGGTGTCGTGAGCAACCCTTTCTGAGCAGGCCAGAATAGAAGAGTGTGTGAAGTCAAGAATTAATGTACCAATTTGTCATTGTGAAGGGAAGTCCAATGAATTAAGAAGGAAAACCCTTTCTCTTTCTCTCTGCAATTATGTCTCCTCTCAGTTTTATGTATTCAAATATGAAAATACTTTGCGCCTCATGTTTTTAATGTTTGTTAAATGTACTGAGAAAATGTGTCGTGTCGTAGGTAGGAAATTTTTAAGTGCTATCTGATATTCACTTGGTTCTTAGAGAATAAGGAATTGCCTCTTTTCTCTCTCTAACCTGAAGATTAAATTTTCAACCACCATTTCAGAGAACCAAACTTTTTCTCCTTGATCAAAGTCATCTTCTCTAACAATGATACATTCTTTTTCCTTGATTAGTAACAGAATTGTCTTTCAAATGAAATGTATAAATTTGTAATACTTGGGATTGAGGAATACTCTTTTATTTGTACAGATTTTCCGTGGTTTAATCGTAGTACCAGGGAATTTGTTGGTGGGGATTTTGTTTAACCTCACAATGTTGAATTTGAAAGTCTTGAACCACAGACATCCAATTACAGAAAGAATATAAGGTATATCACAACGCAGCAACTTGACACTGTCTCTGTTTTGTTCATAGGAGATGATTTTTGTGGTTTGCATGCATGCAATATGAGAACAGTGTTGACAAGAAGGCTGAGTTTACATAAATGATCTAGATTGAGACTCAGCTACCTTTCTTCCTTATGTAGTGTAATTACAGCCCAATCTGGAGACAGCTAACACAGCAAACAGATTTCATTACATCCTTCACTCAGACTCTGAGTGGAGTTATTTCTGTTAAATTCTTCACCTCCCAAAAAAAATCATAGAGCTCCTTTATCAGGGACCAACTGGGTAGTATACATCTGAATAAAAGGTACAAAACTATGTGTGTTAAATAATTGTGTTGTTAAAAAATATTTAAAATGTACTTGAAACATCACTGTAATTGTTTGGCTTTATGCAAGTATGGTTTGAATTGTTATAGGGATGTCGATTAGTAGACCATTTTATTTTTCTGTTTAAATTACTTTTCTCACTGTTGTTGGCTTAATTAGTAACTGTAGTTAAGATGTATTCCATCAGGCTTTTTCTTTAATCATTAACTTCTGGAAAAGCTATCCTAATGCTTTATCTTCCTCAGATGGGGGCCTAAATGTCCTTTAACTCCTATTAAGAAAATGAATAGTGATGTTTACATTTTGTAAAGTAAAAATTTCCTGTCTCCTAGTGCCTAAACAAAAAAATAAAATAAGAAATTTGAAAAGGAGATCTCTAGTCACCCAGTAGACACTAACCACTATGGATACCATGTTGAATTTGTAGTCAGAAGATCTAGATTCAAATTCTGCCATTTATTATTATCTGTGTAACTACTGGACAAGTCATTTAATCCCTTTGGGCCTCAGTTTCCTCATCTGTAAAAATGAAGCAAATGAAAGGTTGCTTCTTGCTTTAAATCCCTGATCCTACGTTTTGGTTTTTTTGGTTTGTTTTGGTTTGGTTTGGGTTTTTGGTTTTTTTTAGCAATTCCTCTATCTCTTCTTCCAGAGCCACAGGCTTTTCTGCCACTCATTCATACCCTGTTCCAAACATCATAGGAAAGAGGATTCTCCTTCAAGTCTGAGGGCCCTGGAGACAGGATTGGGAGAATACTTTGAAAACAAAGGGTCTGAAGGGAGTAACACAGTTGGAAGTAGTGTGGTCAGAAAGGATAAGGGAACACGTTGTAGGCCAAGAGTCAGAGGAAATGCAGATTTGCTGGCATAGATCCCTTTAAGTTACATTAATGCTTGGCCACGCAGGTCGGAAAATAACGTGGGCATGTCTCTGTGCTGAGCGCAATCCTAGTTTCCCCTTTTTTAGCATCTCCTTTTTTGTGCCGCATTCTTTTTCTACAGGACTTCCTGTTTGCCTTCTAGTCTTCTCCCCAGGTCCCTTTCTGTACCTCCTTCCTAGCTGTCTTTCTGTTCCTGTCTCCTACATACTGTTACCTTCTTTCCTTTGCCTTCCAACCCTTAGGCACAAGGTGCCCTCATCCTACCTTCTGTTTGTCTGGCACTTCTCATACTACAGACTCCTGTATAATCATGGCATCTCTTTCAGCGTTCCTGTGGTCCAGAAGTATATTTCTCTCTGGCCTTTACCCCAGCCTTAAGCTTCACCATCTTAGCCTGGTACTGGGTAAACAAGTTGTTCAGAACTCATTTATGCTAAGGCATGAATGAGGGATGGCTACTAGTCTGCCTTGGGGAATGGTTTGTTGGTCCAAATGAATCTCTGGTGGATTTTCAAACTAAAATGTGGAGAACTCTTAAGTGAGACTCTCCTGTTCTAACGCCTAGAGCTATGGTAAGAGAAGAAGCTTGTGGCCCCTAAAAATGCCAAATCTTCCAAGGAAGGAGTTGGTCTCTTCTCTCTTTTTGAGTCTTTCACCAGCTTTCTGTCTGAGTCTGAAGTCTAAGCTGCTTTTACTGATCTTTACCCTTCAATGAAGTTTGCCAGTTAAATATATATATTTATATATATATATATTTTATATATATATATATATATATATATATATATACATGTATACATATATGTGTGTGTGTGTGTATACACAGAGGTGTATTATACCCTTCAGTCCTTTGCTTGAAGACCTCCAAAATGGGGGTGGGGTGGGAAATCTATCATTTCTTGAGAGAGCTCATTCCACTTTTGGACAGTTCAATTTGTTAGGAAGTTTTTCCTGATAGCAAGCCTAAATTGGCCCATTTGTAATTTCCACCCATTGCTACTGGTTCTGTTCTCTGGGACCAAAAAGAATAAACCTTATCACTCCTCCACATTATAGCCCTTCAGGTCTTTAGAGACAGGCATCTTGTACCTTCTGAGTCTTCTCTAAACATGCCCATTTTTTTCACCTGATCCTTATATGTCATAGACTCAAGACACTTCATAAATCTGGTTGTCCTCCTTTGGACATTTTTTATGTTGTTGTTCATCAATGTCCTTCTTAAACAATGATACCATAACTATACACAAAACACTGCAGATGAAATCTAAAGCAATGCAATGGGACTATATTACCTCCCTACACCTGGAATGTAGGGCACCTAGAGGGTGCAGTAGATTGGAATCAGGAATACTTATCTTCCCAAGTTCAAATCAGGCCTCAGACACTTGCTAGGTGTGACCCTGGGCAAGTCACTTAACCCTGTTTGCCTCAGTTCCTCTTCTGTAAAATGAGCTGGAAAAGGAAATGGCAAACCACTCCAATATCTTTGCCAAGAAAACCCCCAAATTGTGTCACAGGGAGTCAGACACAACTTAAAAATGACTGAATGACACAAAGTCCTGGAAGATAAACCTCTCTTAATGCAGTACAAGATCCCATTAACTTTTTTGAGTGCTCCATAACACAGCTGACTCATTGAGTTTGCAGGCTACTTCCAAACCTCCCAGATCTTTTTCAGAACATCTTCTGGTCTATCCATGCCTTCTTCCATCTTGTACTTGTAAAGTTGATTTTTTTTTGTACCCAAATGCAAGATTTTACATTTGTCCTAATTGAATTTCATCTTTTATGGTTTCACTGAAAGCTGTCCCCTCATGCTGCCATCCAATATGTTAGTTATCCCTCCTAGTTTTGTGTCTTCTGCAGGTCTGGTGAAAATGCCATCCATAACTTCATCCAAATATTAAACAGCACAGGACCAAGGATAGAGCCCTGGGTTACTTCCCTGGAGATCCTCCATATCGATATTGAACTTTTAACAACTACTCTGAGTTTGACCAACCAGGTACTTGCCTTTGCTGTCTTGGCTTTTGGGGGTGGATACGATTGTCACCTGGGAGCTGATGCAACACCGGGGATGTGTACCACCACCTGCTGTAAAAAGGAGAGGCCTGGGTCTCCCCTATCTACCGAGTCTTTTCAGAGGAGCCTCAGGGCAGGGTCCTAGTTCATCCTGATTTCCCCACCCTATCCCTCAAGTTGACCCTAGAAATTCTTGGTTTGATTGTTTAAAACATAGTAATTAATTAGTAAATGACTTATTAAGAGTCATTTGGGTGAATGGTTTACCATCTGTTCTTAATTATCATACAACACAAAATTATGCATTTCATTAAATATTTGTCTGATTAACTTTGTTGTAAATGTTATTTGATTACAGTACTAAACTCTATTAAAATACACTCAGTCTTCATAGTTTGTTGTTCATGTACCATAGTCATTCAGTTATCACTTTAAAACAACTAGAAGGAACACAGGGCAGCGAGGTGGCACAATGGATAGAGTGCTGCGCCAGAGTCAGGAAGACCTGAGTTCAAATCTGGCTTCAGACACTTACTAGCCATGTGACCATGGGCAAGTCAGTTAACCCTCTTTGCCTCAGTTCCCTCATCTGTAAAATGAGCTGCAGAAAGAAATGGCAAACAAGGGGCAGCTAGGTGGTGCAGTGAATAGAGTGCTAGGCCTGGAATCAGGAAGATCTGAGTTCAAATTCGGTCTCAGACCAGACACTTGACATTTCCTATCTGTGTGACCCTGGGCAAGTCACTTAACCCCAATTGCCTTGCCAAAAAAATTTCTTTTTAAAAATAAAGAAATGGAAAATCACTTTAATATCTTTGCCAAGAAAACTCCAAATGAGGTCGTGGAGAGTCACCCATGAATTAAACCCGACTAAACAACAGCCAAGAAGGAGCACAGCTTACTGATTCAGTCTAAATTCTTAGTGTTTAGGATTTTGGCTTCTCTGACATATAGTTCTTTCTAAGGTCCAAAGGCATTTGAGAGACGATGTGGAATAAAGGGTAGAGCGTTACTTGGAGCTAGTAATCCCTGAGTTTAAATCCTGCCTCTGATATTTACAAACTGTGTGACTCTAAGCAAATTCTGTAACCCCTTCGATCCTCAGGTTCCACATCTGTACAGTGGGAGGAAATAGTACCTGTCCAACCTAACTTATGGGGATGTTGTAATATTTAAGCAATATTTAGATGTATAAAATTCTTCTGAAACTTGCACTCGACAAATAACAGTTATTACTCTGTGCAATCTACATAAGATTCAGTCTACAAAAGATAGGTTCAATCTACATAAGAAGACAAAAACTTCTGGTTCAAAATACACCAAAAAAGTTTTCTTTTTTAATCTGTTTCTTCTTTCACAACTGTTACTAACATGGAAATATTGTTTACATGATAGCATGTGAATAACCTATATCAGACTGCCTGCCATTTTCAGAAGAGGGGAGGGGAGAGCGGGGGGGGGGAGGGGGGAGAAAAATCTGAAACTCAAAATCTTATAAAAACAAATGCTAAAATTTCTCTTGATATGTAACTGGGGGGAAAAATAAAATACCATAATAATAATTTAAAAAAAGAATGTAAAAAATACAAATAATAGAGTAAAAACATGCACCAAAAAAGAGGGTTAGGCATATTCTCAGGAAAATCGTGTGTAGAACAATGAACTTAAACTCCCCACCCAGTCTTCTGGGGGGGAAATGATGCACAGTTAGATCCTTTTAAATCCTAACATGTTCTTGATACAAATGGGGTATTTAAGACTTCCTTTTTGACATTCTCTTGGGTTTATAAAACAGTTAATGGGTCTAAAGGATCATCATAGAGTTAGAGCAGGAAGAAACCTTACATGTCATCTAGTTTAACCCCTTATATTACAGTTGAGGAAACTGAGGCTCAGAGAAGTTAAATTGCTTGCTGGAGGTCACACAAGGTAGTAAGTAGGAGAGCCAGAATTTGAACCCAGCTCTTTTGACTTCGAATCCAGCCTTCAATCCATGCCACCACCTTCCCTTGCAGTAATTTCCCCTATAGTTCCACCAGTGTGAAGAATCCCACTTTTCAAACGTCTTTGCTAGAATTTTTAGTCCAAGGCTACTTTTCTGTATCCTCTTCCTATGCCCACCTCCATCTTCATTTATCCTCCCTCTTTCAAGGCCTGGTGTTATCCTCACCTTCCTGCCCAGTGACGGCTCTTCCGCATCTCCCTTCATAACCTATAAGTAGTGTCTCTGGTGAAAGAATGACACACCCCCTGCTAACTGAGCAAAAGGTCATTAATGAACACTTTTTAAAAAACCTAATTACTATAATTGAAGAGCTGTTAGGGCAAATCAATCTTATTTTTCTTAAGGATAAAGCTTTCAGCCTAAGAACCCTACTACCCACCATTTCTCCTATTATATTGTCAATGCTTCCTTTTCCAAAACACCCTAATAGAATAATTATTTGTTTTGTTCCTGGTCTTCTCACCCAAGATCCAGGCAGAATTGAGGCTGTCTGACAGTGGAAACAGCAGCTAGATGGCATGATGGATAGAGCACTGGCTGAAATTAGGAGGACTCCTTGCTGTTCAAGCTTCAATCTTGAAGAGGACCAATGACATCAGAAGGGTGATGTCTTGACTTGCAAGTGAATTGGATTTAAGTGAGTTCAAATCTAGCCTCAGA